TTACACAACAGCTATCATTCACTCTCTTAGCTGGGACTCTAGATGACTCACTGTCCACATTGTGGCGTGTTAGGATCTCTAAGTGTTCAACATGGGACTCCTCACTGTCTGAAGGAGGAGAGTCTGATGAGCTGTGAAACAGCTTCTCCAGCGATTCTGCGCACTACTCACTTAAGATGTCTTACAGCCTGTTTGACTCCTGATATTACTCTTCTTTTCTCTTGGAGTCTCTGCTGGAATTCCTCTGCAGGTCTTTCATTTCCTGGAGAAACAAAGTCAACTCTTATGAAGTGTGAGATATAACAGTTCATCATTTTTTGGTTTCAAAATACAGGACACTGTGGCGGAGGACGGCACAGGGCCAGCTATAGAAAGCAAATGTCAACATAAAGCAAAGCCAAATCAGGATATTTTAGGCAATTTAGAAATCCTGGTGGACACGTTTAACCTTGTGTGGTGTTGATGTTGTTTGTGACTCAGTGGTCCGGTGGACCCACCACAGTATGGTGTATTAAATCAATACAAGCCATAAACAATTTATGTTAAAACTACAGATCTTTAAAAATATGCAAGTGGTCAGCGTTAAGGTTCTCCCTGTAGAGCTGTAGCCAGTCAGCAGCCTGTCCTGTTGTCCACCCTCACACACACAAACATATACTAAACCACATAACAAAACAAAACACACACACTAACAGCAGGCATGTAGGAGGAGAACAGAGTAAAGGGACACAAGCACCTCCACACTTTTATTCCCCGCAGATTTAGACCAACACCAGTGTAACTAAATGTGTGGGGGCTGGAACAGTGTGAAGACACTGAAAAATGGGTATTATTTATATGTCTTCACAGAAAATGAGCACAAGGCAAGAATCTAAGTTTGACAAATAATAATAGATCGACTATTGTTTTTTGGTAAACAGTGAAAATGGGTCCCACAACTCCAACACCACACAAAGGGTTAGGTGCTGAGTACGCAGTGGAACTGCTTAGTACATCAGCATTTATCAGACCACAGAAACTGACGGTTGGCAGCTCTTTTCTTCTCTTTGTGGATTTTTTTGGTCTAAATAAAAGCTCAAAGTCAGGAGTGTACCAACACAAAGCAGTAACAAATATCGACACCATCAAAACATACTTGAAATTAAAAATAAAAAAAAGGAATTAGTATCGAAAATACGACTTGCTAAAATGTAGCAGAGTAAATAAAAGATCCTTTTACTCATTAATTTTTTAGTAGAAAGTAAAACTATTATGATTAAATATCGATATTAAAAATCCAGAAGTATTTTACTGAAGTACATGTATTGAGTAAATATAAACTAGTTACTACCCACCTTGAATCGGTTTATAAAGATGCCATTAGCATGACATGGGAAAGGCAGTTTTTAGTTAGTGGCCTAATTGCATTTCATCTCTCAGCCAGACGATTTATTATTATTTATTTTAAACAAGCTGCTTTACCCCAACTGCTTTTGGTCACATGTGCATATGAAGTGTAGAAAGCTAGAAGATGGGTGATGTTAGTTAAACCTGTCTGACTACATTCAGGTCAAGTATAATCTGAAGCCATATTCGTCAGATTACAAATAAAGAATTAAAATGTTGATTTGAAGTTCTTGCCTGTTTCTTGGTTCTTTCTGTGTAGCTGAGACTGTATCGTGGCCTTATTTCTTCCATCGTACATAAATAGCAGATCGCAGCTGTGGTCAGTACGGCAGATTAGACCTTGATCACCTCATCATGCTGAGAGCAGATCTTCTCTTGTAGTTTTGAAGAGGCTGTAAACCAGCTTGTGTTTGATCAAGGCTGGAATTTCCAGATGAGGTTAAGGATGGTTCACAAAGAGAGCTACCCACACCGCCAAAAGGACTGATGGCTTTGCGTTTTCTCCAGGGCAGAAATCACACTCCACATCTCCAGGTCCAGCGTAACACGAGAGCCAGGAGAAGCAGATTGGAGTTCTGTCTTCTCCGTTTCCACAACTTCAGCCAGCATGTGTTTCTGCGTTAGAAACAGGCCTGGAGTGAAGGTCTCTCTGCACTGGGGGCAGCTGAGACCCCCCTTGATCATCCTGATCCAGCCAGCCATTATTACACACCATACAGAAAACTGTTCACAGGGGAAATAGTCACGGGATCCTCAGCAGATCCAGACAGACTGGACAGCTCTGAACTTGGTCCTGATCTACTGAAATACGGCCTCTGCCATTCCCTGCACTCAAAGCCTGAGAGAGAGCAGCTCCTGAGATCAGTTCGTTTCAGTCTGAACTGAGTTAGGAGCGTGCTTCCTGTTCTGTGTGTTTGGTTGGAGTGTCATAGAGAGAAGGGTGGAGAGAGAGAATGAGGAGGAGACTGAAGAAGAGACAGAGACGGAGACAAAATCCTTCAGTTAAATTTTCACAGAAAACGTGGAGTATAGAAGCGTCGTTTAAAGTCGTAGATTAAATTGACTCCAGTTTGTGAGAGTAATAAACGTATCTGTGCAGAGATAATCTGATCTATGATTGGACGGCTTGTCTAGAAAAAGGACAGAAAAATCTGCACTGTAATTCTGAGCCACAATGCCTTTTAAACCTTTTAAATGGTTTTAAATTTATCATGTATGTTGACAGTTCTGTTAACTCTATTTAGAATATCAGCACTGGATCTGAGCAAAACTGCTGTGATCTGTGATGAGATTCGTGTGAAGTAAGTACTATCAGACTATCAGTCATGTAGTCTTACAGTTACAGCCATAGATATACATTCCTGTGATGCCGCGTTGTCATGTTGTTCTCTATCTGAGCGATTACGTCTGCGCGTCGCATGTTGGAGCGGTCAAGATCCGCTTGTGACAGATCACTGTGTACTGAGAGACGAGAGTCTCAGGATTAAAGCGGCACACAGCTTCCTTATTCACCAACCAGATCTGTGTGTGTTATAATCCTCAGACACAGATTAAGTCAGGTTGCTACAGATCTGCTCTCTGTAGCTTTTATTCTCTAATAACTGATCGTGCTATTAGCCGTCCGGACAGCAAGAAAGTAGTCAGTCTGATCCTGACGTTACGAGTTGATGCACGAGAAACGTAATCACACAGTATCAGCTCATATCTCCCCACCAAAGCGTGAATCACTTCTAATCTTAATACACATACACATATGTAAAGATACCCCCAAAACACCGTAAGAAGGAAGAAGAAGCTTAAGTCGGTTCCTATTCGGCAGTTTCTGTTCTGAGTTGTATCTCGTTCCACCTTAAATGGGATGCAGCATGTATATGTCTGTGGTTACAGCCACCACAGACAGTCTCGAACTAGCCGTTGAGAACTGCTTAGTTTACTTCACTTAAGACCAAAAGTGTAAGAGCACAGAAATGGAGAAAAAACAACCAAACATTTAACGACTTATGGACGGTAGAGAACCGTTGAAATGATCACAGAGCAGTCATTAATGTAGTATCAACAGTGAAACTATGAATCTCAGAGCATCAAATAAAACTGTGGTTAGCTCGCTGGGCAGTACCTACCTGCTGCAGCAGCTTACTGACGTGACCGTCTAGACCGAAACCACCGATTCAGCGCAGAGTCTCTAAGTCACTTAGATATTATCTAGACACATGACAAGCACCAGCTTTGTTCCTAAAACATTCAATGATCGTTCTTCGAAGAACCATATCTTGGTGGTTCCCAACACAAACCGAGTTAGCTCACGAAGCTCTTAAACACATTAACATTAACACACCATAAACTTTCTTTTCGTTTCTGTTGTTTATCTTTTTTTTATCTTTGTGCTGTTGACCATCAGCCTCAAGCACAAGGCCTGAACTGCCCTCAGTGGACTGAGTTAGATGACCATGTGGAGCCCAGTTCAGTTTGCTGAAGAGTCCAAACTCAAACTGAACTAATAATAATAATAATAATTTAATTCAGGTGTATTTAACCCTTTTTGCTGTGAACTTGATGCATTTAGAATGAAAAACACAATAAGTATTAGTGATTAGGAAAACTTTTTATTTACAGTCATTACTGAAATTCACACAATAAAATATTAGGTCCTGTCTTTGTAATTGCCACTGACAGGCCTAGAGCCCCCCAAACCCCCAACAACCCTGCACTCTCTCACAGACACATGCAGTGGTCAGATTATTTCCCACAGTGAGAGAACCCACCACTCAACACATAAGAACCCAAGAGCTGAGCTAAACGTTATGTAGATAAACTGAATCAAATCCTGAATCTGACTTGGGGTCTAACTGTCTAACTGGGAACCATCACTTAGACACCAAATCTAATCCTAATCTTAACAAAGACACACTAAAGTGTTCTGCCTGTCAGTGTAGAGCATCATAGAAGTTAGATCCTTTCATCCTATTTAGTTTTTATTATTGCAAAAAGCATCTGGCATGAAGGATGTTTGAGGAATCTTTGAACAAAAATAATTCAACTTTAACCTTCTTATAAAGTAATTCATTCAATTATAATTCAACAATTGCAGTAATTTTAGATCTAATAATTATTAACTGAAACAAACTACAGTCATTATTTTGGATCACATAACCTCACAGTTCCCCAATTCACCCAGAATCCAGCGTTAGAGAGGCTGAGTGAATGTGTGTGGACTGTTTGTAGGAGGGCATTGTGTCAGAGACGCTGTAGAAGGACAGAGTTCCTGCCACTGTGATCCACATACACTCCTATTCTGGAGGATGATGAGGCTGAGATCTCAGTCTGAATGTTGTTGTGATAGAAAGAGAGAGAGGGAGAACACTGCAGACTCCAGGACTGACTGTTGTGTCCAAACTTACACTCATTACTCTGTCCTTTCCTGCTGATCCCTTTATATGAGACTGATATGTACAGCACACATCTTCTACTACTGCTCCACTCAACCTCCCAGTAACAGCGTCCACTCACACTCTCCTTACTCAACACCTGATACAGTAGTCAATCTCTCTGGATGATCAGAGTAACACTGGTTTATCCCGCATGTAACCACTCTGTTCTCCTCAGACAGACTGAGGCTACTCGTGCTGTGTGTGGGATCCAGAGGTCAGATGACAGAAATCTAACAAACAAAAGAAAACATTAGTTTTTTTTATCATACATATACATACAGTGGTGTGAAAAGTGTTTGCCCCCTTCCTGATTTCTTATTCTTTTGCATGTTTGTCCACACTTAAATGTTTCAGATCACCAAACAAATTTAAATATTAGACAAAGATAACACAAGTAAACACAAAATGCAGTTTATAAATGAGATCTTATTATTAAGGGAAAAGAATCCAAACCTACAGGGCCCTGTGTGAAAAGTGATTGCCCACTAAACCTAATAACTGAGTTGGGCCACCCTTAGCAGCAACAACTGCAATCATAACTGGCAATGAGTCTTTTACAGCACTGTGGAGGATTTTTGCCAACTCATCTTTTCAGAATTGTTGTAATTCAGCCACATTAGAGGGTTTCCGAGCATGAACCGCCTTTTTAAGGTCATGCCACAGCATCTCAATCGGATTCAGGTCAGGACCTTGACTAGGCCACTCCAAAGTCTTAATTTGGTTTTCTCTCAAGCCATTCAGAGTGGACTTGCTGAGTGTGTTTTGGATCAATGCCTGCTGCAGGAACCCAAGTAGCGCTCAGCTTGAGGTCACGAACAGATGGCCGGACATTCTCCTTCAGGATTTTTTGGTAGACAGCAGAATTCATGGTTCCATTTACCACAGCAAGTCTTCCAGGTCCTAAAGCAGCAAAACAGCCCCAGACCATCACACTACCACCACCATATTTTACTGTTGGTATGATGTTCCTTTTCTGAAATGCTGTGTTACTTCTACGCCAGATGTAACGGGACATACACCTTCCAAAAACTTCAACTTTTGTCTCGTCAGTCCACAGAGTATTCTCCCAAAAGTCTTGGGGATCATCAAGATGTTTCTGGCAAAACTGAGACGAGCCTTTATGTTCTTTTTGCTCAGCAGTGGTTTTCGTATTGGAACTCCATTTTTGCCCAGTCTCTTTCTTATGGTGGAGTCCTGAACACTAACCTTAACTGAGGCAAGTGAGGCCTGCAGTTCTTTGGGTGTTGTTGTGGGGTCTTTTGTGACCTCTTGGATGAGTCGTCGCTGCGCTCTTGGGGTAATTTTGGTCGGCCGGCCACTCCTGAGAACGTTCACCACTGTTCCATGTTTTCACCATTTGTGGATAATGGCTCTCACTGTGGTCCGCTGGAGTCCCAAAGCTTTAGAAATGGCTTTATAACCTTTTCCAGACTGATAGATCTCAATTACCTTGTTTCTCATTTGTTTCTGAATTTCTTTGGATCGCAGCATGATGTCTAGCCTTTGAGGATCTTTTGGTCTACTTCACTTTGTCAGGCAGGTCCTATTTAAGTGATTTCTTGACTGAGAACAGGTGTGGCAGTAATCAGGCCTGGGTGTGGCTAGGGAAATTGAACTCAGCTTTCCAAAGACGTGATAAACCACAGTTAATTTATGTTTTAACGGGGGGGCCCAACCAGTTATTAGGTTTAGTGGGCAATCACTTTTTCACACAGGGCCCTGTAGGTTTGGATTTCTTTTTCCCTTAATAATAAAGATCTTCATTTATAAACTGCATTTTGTGTTTACTTGTGTTATCTTTGTCTAATATTTAAATTTGTTCGGTGATCTGAAACATTTAAGTGTGACAAACATGCAAAAGAATAAGAAATCAGGAAGGGGGCAAACACTTTTTCACACCACTGTACATATTTTAAAAAGTCTATTTGTCAGCCTTTTCGTCCTTCTATTTTTACAGGTCATAGTTTATATCGCTGCTGTCCAAAAATGACAAGTATCTCCAAAATGGTAACTTTACAGGAATGTTTAATGTAAGTGAATGTGATGAGACTTTTTCCAGTTAATTATAGAGCATTTCTATTAATAAATTCATCATGAAATTTCACACAGTGTAAAGAACAGCTCTTGTGCTGAAATGGTGCAGAAAAATAAAAATCAAAAGAAGATACGTGTTATTTAGGACAGCGTCTAATGAGCTTTAAGGGAAAAATAGTGTATTCATAATTAAACCTCTAACACTGATTCACCACCGTGTTGTTTAAAGCTGATTCTGTTTCAGAAGCTTACAACATTCAGAACGTTAAGATGCTCAAAGTGACGAGAAGATATAAATGCAGACGTGTGTGTGTGGTGTGTATGTGTGTGTGTGTGTGTGTGTGTGTGTGTGTGTGTGTGTGTATTGTGTACATACACTGTAGAAAATCTTCTCTGGTTTTTGGCTCTGAGGGTAAAATCATCTGAACTGCTGCAACTGTGGAGACACACAAACACAATGATCATCAAACTGAATGAAGGAGACTGAAATACTTCATCCAGACAGAAAGAAACAGAGAACAGATTCACAGCACAGTTCACATGATTAAACTGAGATAATTTAAGTAGAGAGAGAAACTAAGTGTCTGTCTGTCTTTTATGGCAGTGGTTCACAATCCAGTCCTCAGGGCTCCCCAAATGTTCCACATTCATGCTCTATTCCAGCTCCCAACACTCCTGTACAAAGCCATTAATAACACTGAATACCTGCTACAGGTGTGTTGGGAGCTGAGAGGGGGCAATTTATTAATGGACCATCTAGAGGAACCCTGACGTCTTGTTTAAAAACAACTGACTTATGGTAACTTGGAAAAAAAATATCAACTTAAACTTATTGTCACATTCACATAACTTATTTACTGTGTAGCTCAGGAAATATTATTGCTTTTTGTGGCTCATCATATAAACATTTTCACTAATCTATCACTAAAGATGTTCATCATTGTGTTTCACAGCAGGAAGATCCTCTTACCATGTGTAGAGATTCTACTGAATTCCTGCTTGCAGAATTCCTCTAGTCTCTCTTTCAGATCAGAGAGAGATTTCCTCATTCCATCAAATGAGAGATGTGGATGGACAGTGATGCTGGGTGAATCCTCAGATCCAGAAGAGACACAGAGAGACTGGAAACTCTACAGAGAGAAAACAATGTAATGGAAAAGGATAAATGTGTTCACAACTGAAAAAAGGTCTTAAAGCACATTAAAAAGATTTGTGATTTCAGACAGATTTATTTATTGTTTCTTGAATGGACTTTTGGGAAGAAACATTTTAGAACCTCAGTGAGTTTCAGGTCACTTTGTACATCAGACAGTGGCTGCATCTAGAAATACTAACAATGTACTATTTTCGTACCAATCCTCCTCTTCTTCTCTGTGGCCCAGTAACAATTTTGGTGACCTCATCTACTGGAGGAGACAAGAGTAGCTCCAAACACCTGGAATCTGCCTTTTTCAGATATTAAAGTGAAATCACACGTATGTCCAGAAAGGACGGACAACACGGAGGAGCTCAGCTACGCATTTCATTACGTTTTGTTTGTATTTTTATGCTCTCAGTATTTTGTGTATTTTGCACTTGACCAAAACTAAAAAATGGAAGTACAGGTCGCGCACACACCTAAGTAGATTGGCCCTGTATAGTAACTGCAGGAGTATTGAGGGCGTATTTTCAAATGAACCTTGTGATAAACTTAGATTTGAGGACGCTGAAGTAGATCAGCTGTCCTGTCCCCCTTGTTACTACTCGTTCTTCCAGTTCCTCCTATTCCGTTCATCTCCTCAACTCCTCCACAATCTTCTGAGGTAGAAGAGGAGCAGTATGAAGGCGGGGCAGGAGCAGTAGCAGAGTTACCTGCAGGAAATGTATGTGATCCTCTGTGTGTGAAAGCTGCTCCAGCTCAGTGTCTCTCCTCTTTAGATCAGCAATCTCCTGCTCCAGTTGCTCCAGGAGTTCTTCAGCTCCACTCAGTTCAGCCTCCTCCTGAGCTCTGATCAGCTCTGTTACCTCAGAGCGCGTTTTCTCAATGGAGCGGATCAGCTCAGTAAAGATCCTCTCACTGTCCTCCACTGCTGCCTGTGCAGAGCTCTGTTACAACACACACACAAGATGGAGCTCCATTTACACACCAGCTATCATTCACTCTCTCACTGGGACTCTAGATGACTCACTGTCCACATTGTGGCTGTGTAGGATCTCTAAGTGTCCAACACTGGACTCCTCACTGTCTGACTGGAGGAGAGTCTGACTGAGCTGTGAAACAGCTGCTCCAGCAGATCTCTGCTCACTACTCACCTTAAGAGTCTTCACAGCCTGTTTCACCTCCTGCAGCTTCTTCTCTTTCTCCTGGAATTTCCTCTGCATCTCCTTCAGCTGATTCTGAGGAGAAAGAATTTGTATTCTGGTTTATATTAACAGCAGCTGAAGAGTTCAAGTTCACTCTTGTTCTACATCGTGAGCACAATAAAGCTGTAAATATGCTGGAAGACGGACGTTGGCTGGTGAAAGGTTTGCTGACTGGTTTTACTTGTTGCTAACAGTAATGTGAGGTTTATTTACACTTTCCTACCAAAATCACATACATTTACAGTATCATCATCCCATAAACTGATCATCAGTATCACTGTCTAATTAAGTATCAGATTCTAGATAAGAAATACAAATAAAGTGAGTCTGAAAGTTTTTACTTCTCACCTGTTTTTCTTTTCTTTCTGCTACAGCTGCAACTGCACTGTGTCCCATGTGTTCATCCATCGTACACAAATAACAGATGCAGCTGTGGTCAGTACGACAGTAGATCTCGATCAGTTTATCATGTTGAGGGCAGATCTTCTCTTGTAGCTGTTTGGAGGCTTCGACCAGCTTGTGCTTCTTAAAGGCAGGAGACTGATAGTGAGGTTTAAGATGAGCTTCACAATAAGAAGCCAGACACACCAAACAGGACTTGATGGCTTTGCGTTTTCTCCCAGTACAGAAATCACACTCCACATCTCCAGGTCCAGCGTAACAGTGAGCAGGAGAAGCAGCTTGGAGTTCTGTCTTCTTCAGTATCTCCACCACTTCAGCCAGCATGTTGTTTCTGCGTAGAACAGGCCTTGGAGTGAAGGTCTCTCTGCACTGGGGGCAGCTGTAGACCCCCCTCTGATCACCCTGATCACAGCAGCCATTAATACACACCATACAGAAACTGTGTCCACAGGGAAAAGCCACTGGATCCTTCAGCAGATCCAGACAGACTGGACAGCTGAACTGGTCCTGATCTACTGAAATACTGGCCTCTGCCATTTTCCTGCACTCAGCACTCAGAGAGATCAGTTTCGTTTTCTCTGAACTGAGTAGGAGTGGCTTCCTGGTTCCGTGTTAGGAAGGGAGAAGGAGGTGGAGAGAGAGAGAGAAGAGGAGGAGACTGAAGGACCAAGAGTAAGACACAAAATTCTTTTACTAAATTGAAAAAGAAAACGTAAAGCAGAACCATTTAAAGTCACAGATTAAATGGAGTAACCTGATCTCTGTGAATCCTCTGATCCACATATCATAACAGACGCCTTTCCCCAAAAAAGAAACTTGTACTGCAAAAATCCACCTTTTAAATTTCTGAGCGTGATGTGTTTTCATTTTTCTTTCTTTTCCTCTTCACTTTCTCCTAAAGTAAATTCTTTAATACCACTATTTTCATTTGAGCAGACCTGTGTAGGATTTTGTGAGAGATCCTGAAGCAGTACAGAGGTTATCTGTTATGTAGGTTAATATTTAGCCTGTTGCAGGTATTTTCCTGTTAAGTTCATTCAGTTTAGTTCATTTAGGATCTGAAGGCAGCACAGAATTGAGGGGGAAAAACAAATGTTTGAAGTCTTTGGTAAGATTTTACTAGAACTGTAACTGATGGTAGAGTACTGTGTGTAGTTAGACTAACCAGGGGTCATGATGTGTATTAACTCCAATTAATAGTTGAATTAATTGGAGTTAATACATTTCTGATGTGATTCACTGCAGAGAAACTCACTGACTCACATTTCTTTACAGTGGTGCTGACAGAAACCAGGGGTCATGATATCTACAATGCAAATACAGTCATGTTTATTCACTTTCAAGAACAACCAGTGCAGCTACACGCTTTATATGTAGTGTTGATGATGATAAAACAGTGTTTTATCTGGAGAAAAATACATTTTCTTTGGGGACTATTTTACCTCACAACACCCTGATGTATCTCTCCACCATGAATGGATTTTAAAATAATACTTTTTAGGCTGAAACCTTCTCAAAACTATCTTTAAACAATTTCTCACACATCAGCGTATTCATAACCATCTCATGTAATAACTCTCTGTGAGGGAGCTTGTATGTCTGTATGGTCAAGCTTTACTCAAGATACATAAACAAAGGATGCAAAGGAAAAATCTTTATTCTGGAAATCATCTACATTCAGATGAAAACAGATCAGTCAACTTGTAGAAATATAACTGTAGAAACATCGACATGTAGACTGATAACATTTTACATTAAAACTGGTACCTGTGGAGTAAAATTCATTAAAAAATCTGAAAAAAAACCCCAAATATTTATTGGTTATGAAAATCTATTTTTAAAAACAAATAATAATGAAGTTCATAAACACATACAGTGGTCAGATCCAAAGTATTTCCTGCTGAAATAGCTCTCACCACTCAACCCATAAGAGCCAAGTGCTGAGCTAAAGGTTAACATAAGCTAACAGAATCAAATCCTAAATCTAACCCAAACTGAAACAATAAGATTAGTCACAAATCCAGCTCCTCTAAATCTGAACCAAAGACACAAAACAGGGTCCATCTATATTCACTGCACCTCAACCTCACTGTCTCAAAAAAGCCAGACCAATACAAAATAAACACCAGCCAACAAGATCTTTGTGTCCACTGAAAGAAAAAGCTTTGGGTGGTCATAGCCCACCAAAAAATAAACAACAAGCCTCTCAAAAACTGAAAATAACCTATAGAAAAAAATCTAATATACTGTCCACTCCATAATTATTGGCACAATTGGTAAACATGAGTAAAAAGGTTATGATGTAAATGGCTTTGTGGTTAATTAGCTCAATCTGGCACTGAAAAATGGGAGAATTCTAACATTTAACTGCAGTAAATTCATGTAATAAAAAAAAACTCAAACTTCAAACTCTTCAAAAAACTCATCTAGTTCCTCCCTCGGCCAAAATAACAGCAATTAATCTTCTCCTCTGACCCCCCATGAGATAAACAGAGCACTGAATCTGAGACCACTCCTCAGTACAGACTCTCTCCAGATCCTCTGTCGTCTCTTTTGGACTCTCCTTTTTAGCTCACTCTGTCTTCACTCTTTCACTGCTCGAAGCCTTTCTTCTGTGTACTTCCAAATAGTCTGGTGATGTTTGGTGGTGTCTAATTGTAGTTTTGGAGACTTGGTGACTCTCAGATACGACTATCTTTTCTAAATCTCCAGCTGTGAAACATTCTTGCAGGTTCACTGAAGCTCTGGTTGTTTTAAACATCTTAATTATGGCCCAAACTGTGGCTTTGTCTGATTTATGAAGGTCAGCATGCTGCTGTCTCATTTCACTTCTTGTGTCCTCTTAAAAAATGAAATATAAATGGGAACATGTTTCTGTTACATTTTTTTCATAAGAACTTTTAGAAGTGCTAATAATTATAAAAAGCATCAAAAGGGATTTTATTGTTTATTGTTTCATCAATTGATTTTAATATTTTCAGGGTGAGATTGAGCTCATTTTTACATGAACACTTTTTCATGATCTTTCTTGCACTTCTTTGTCAAGAGTGACAAAAATGTGGAAATTCTAACTACCAAACTTTCCTGTAAAAGTTGTATTTGAGTTTCTGTTTTATTTGAAATGTTGATCTCGATTCTCTTCTGATGATATGTTTATATAATTGCACCTTTGATTAAATTTTGCTTGATTTAAGTTTCTTTTTTCCAGCTATAGGTTACTGTAGATAAGGTAGATGGGCTGTTGGCCTTTTATCATTTATTGTGTCATTTTAGTAAGAGATATTTTGTTAGATTCGTGTTATTAAACGATTTCCTTTCATCCAAATACACATTTATATATTGTGGAAAAGGCATCTCAAATGGAAGATGTATAGTTGGATCCTGCGCCAGGAACAAAATATGTGGGGGATAATTTTGTTTTTCTAAAGAAAACCTAAAGCAGTTTTACATTAATTTAACAGGAATTCTGTGAATACAGCTACTTTTAACCTCTCTCCTTTTAAATAATACATTTATTACTCACTGAAGCAAACTAGTCACATTATTTTGGATCACATAACCTCACAGCTGATCCATAATTTCCAAAATCAAATCCAGCATAGAGAGGCTGAGTGAATGTGGTGTGGACTGTGTGTAGGAGGGTCATTGTGTCAGAGACGCTGTAGAAGGACAGAGTTCCTGCACTGTGATCCACATACACTCCTATTCTGGAGGATGATGAGGCTGAGATCTCAGTCTGAATGTTGTTGTGATAGAAAGAGAGAGAGGGAGAACACTGCAGACTCCAGGACTGACTGTTGTGTCCAAACCTGCACTCATTACCTCGTCCTTTCCTGCTGATCCCTTTATATGAGACTGATATGTACAGTCCATATCCTTTACTATTGCTCCACTCAACCTCCCAGTAACAGCGTCCACTCACACTCTCCTTACTCAACACCTGATACCAGTAGTCAAATCTCTCTGGATGATCAGAGTAACACTGTTTGTTTTTACTGCACGTCACCACTCTGTTCTCCTCAGACAGACTGAGGTAGTAATTTACTGTGTTGGGATCCAGAGTCAGACGACAGAAATCTAACAAACAAAAGAAAAGAAAACATATGTTCTTTTATTCACAGAAGGTATATATTAAAAAAAGTCTACTTGATAGAATTTCCTTTCTTCTACTCTTATTGTTTACATTTTATTGATTAGTGTGTGTTTGTGAGTGTGTGCGTGTGTGTTTGTGTGTGTGAGTGAGTGTGTGTGCGTGTGTGTGAGTGAGTGTGTGTGCGTGTGTGTGAGTGAGTGTGTGTTTGTGTGTGTGAGTGAGTGTGTGTGCATGTGTGTGAGTGAGTGTGTGTGTGTGTGTGTGTGTATTGTGTACATACACTGTAGAAAATCTGCTCTGGTTTTTGGCTCTGAGGGTAAAATCATCTGAACTGCTGAAACTGTGGAGACACACAAACACAATGATCATCAGACTGAATGAAGGAGACTGAAATACTTCATCCAGAAATAAAGAAGCAGAGAAAAGATTCACAGCACAGTTCACATAATTAAACCAACATCACAACAGTAAACAGAGAGAAAGAGAGAAAAAATGTTCATCATTGTTTCACAGCAGGAAGCTCCTCTTACCATGTGGAGAGATTTTACTGAATTCCTGCTTGCAGAATTCCTCTAGTCTCTCTTTCAGATCAGAGAGAGATTTCCTCACTCCATCAAATGAGAGATTTGGATGGACAGTGATGCTGGGTGAGTCCTCAGATCCAGAAGAGACACAGAGAGACTGGAAACTCTACAGAGACCAAAGTGTAAAACAGATAAATAAAGGTGAACAAAAATGATGAAAGATTTCAGACCAAAGACAGATCAGTGAATTCACACAGATACAGGTTTATTCAAAAGTTTAGGCACCCCTGGACAAATTATGTTTTGTTGGTTCTCCATTTGCAAATAAAGTAATACATCCTTACAGGTAGCATTGATCTCCAAATTTTAATGCACTGTTTCTGTTTGACAAGTTCAACATTTTAGAGAAAAACATCTCATTAAATTTGCCCAAATAAGAGAAGTTGTGCATGTTACTTCCCTAGAACGTATGTTTTGTTTTTGCTTGCTTCTCTTTCGTTCTCTCTCTCTCTCTCTCTCTCTCACACACACACACACACACACTCTCGCTTATTAGGAACCCGCCCACTTGTGTGCGTGATTGGCTGGAGTCCCGTAACGATGATTGCATCTGATTGGCTGACTGAAATTGCATGGAGTATTCCTTCAACAGCTGCTGGATGTCCTCAAGGCTTTCCTCCATGGCGGCTTGGGGCGATTGTTTTTAGATCTGAATCGCAGCTCTTTGTCTGTCCTCATCTCAAATGAAATAGCTTAGCTTAACCTCTTCTATACCCAGTTATCTCTACTGTTTGGCAGTACGCTCATGATCTTTCTCTGTAAACGTTCACTCTTATGATTTAGGGAAGACTGACTGTATTTTTGTTATTCTATTTCCTCATAGGTAAGTTAGTTCTCTAAAACCTCTAGCTAGGCTGGTTATGTTTGTTGTTTTGGCGCATGCCCACTCTGACGCTGTCCTGTGTCGTGGGTTCAAAAGAGCGGCTAAAGAAAAGAAAATAACACGACTTGATCTGTTTAAACGTCATCTGGCTCTCTTTTTTTATGTTATGACCATCTCAAACCCCTAGACAGGTCGTAACAGTGAATTAAAATGTACCGACGTTTGTTCTCTGAGAGGATGTGTTAACTTATTTTCACTTAGAACATTAAAAAACAGGTCATTTGACAAAAGGTGCCCAAACTTTTGCAGAAGACTGTATATGACAGATAGTTACCTGTAGGAAATGGATGTGATCCTCTGTGTGTGAAAGCTGCTCCAGCTCAGTGTCTCTCCTCTTTAGATCCGCAATCTCCTGCTCCAGTTGCTCCAGGAGTTCTTCAGCTCCACTCAGTTCAGCCTCCTCCTGAGCTCTGATCAGCTCTGTTACCTCAGAGCGCTTTTTCTCAATGGAGCGGATCAGCTCAGTAAAGATCCTCTCACTGTCCTCCACTGCTGCCTGTGCAGAGCTCTGTTACAACATACACACAAGATGGAGCTCCATTTACACACCAGCTATCATTCACTCTCTCACTGGGACTCTAGATGACTCACTGTCCACATTGTGGCTGTGTAGGATCTCTAAGTGTCCAACACTGGACTCCTCACTGTCTGACTGGAGGAGAGTCTGACTGAGCTGTGAAACAGCTGCTCCAGCAGATCTCTGCTCACTACTCACCTTAAGAGTCTCCACAGCCTGTTTAACCTCCTGCAGCATTTTCTCTTTCTCCTGGAGTCTCTGCTGAGATTTCCTCTGCATGTCTTTGACTTCACTCTGGACAAACAACATCAACTGTTTATGAAATGTGAGATGAGAGGTGAATTATGAATCAAGAGAGTGAAGGACATTGTAGCTCTAATGGACTTTGACACTGTAATGTGTGCTGTACTGCTGTAGGGAACTAGAAGATGGGTGTTGGCTGGTCAAACATGTTTGACTAGATTAGGTCAAACATAATCTCTAATCAGAATAATTTCCCTTTCTCTGAAAATATTCACATATAAATCACTTGAAAATCAACTCTAGCAAAAGGATTTGAGACAAAGTGTGGTGTGATTTTGAAGTTCTTGCCTGTTTCTGGTTTCTTTCTGCTGAAGCTGCTACTGCATCGTGGCCTCTGTGTTCCTCCATCATACATAAATAGCAGATGCAGCTGTGGTCAGTACGGCAGTAGATCTCGATCAGTTTATCATGTTGAGAGCAGACCTTCTCTTGTAGTTTTGAAGAGGCTGTAACCAACTTGTGTTTGATCAAGGCTGGAATTTCCAGATGAGGTTTAAGATGAGCTTCACAAAAAGACGCTACACACACCAAACAGGACTTGATGGCTTTGCGTTTTCTCTCAGTGCAGAAATCACACTCCACATCTCCAGGTCCAGCGTAACAGTGAGCAGGAGAAGCAGCTTGGAGTTCTGTCTTCTTCAGTTTCTCCACCACTTCAGCCAGCATGTTGTTTCTGCGTAGAACAGGCCTTGGAGTGAAGGTCTCTCTGCACTGGGGGCAGCTGTAGACCCCCCTCTGATCCTCCTGATCCCAGCAGCCATTAATACACACCATACAGAAACTGTGTCCACAGGGAGTCGTTACTGGATCCTTCAGCAGATCCAGACAGACTGGACAGCTGAACTGGTCCTGATCCACTGAAATACTGGCCTCTGCCATTTTCCTGCACTCACAGACTGAGAGAGAGCAGCTCTCTGAGATCAGTTTTGTGTCCTCTGAACTGAGTAGGAGTGGCTTCCTGGTTCTGTGTTTGGTAAAGTGTCATAGAGAAAAGGGTGGAGAGAGAGAAATGAGGAGACTGAAGAAGAGACAGACAGAGACAAAATCCTTTGGACAGAAAGATCTGTACTGTAATTTTGAGCCCTGCATTTTAAACCTTTTTAGTATATTTAATTTTATTTGTATTGACTTTATTTTAATATTCATTAACTATTTTATTTAAATATCAGTACTTTAGTCTGAGCAGGACTGTGTGTGGTTCTGTGAGAGACTCTGTTGAAGTAAACTATCAGATTCTCAGTCATGTAGTCTTACAGTTACAGCCACCACAGACAGTCTGAACAGCCGTTAAGCTATTTGAGTTTAATTCACTTAAAGACCAAAATAACACAGAAATGGAGGCAAAAACAACCAAACATTTAAAGACTTTATCGAGTGGGAACCTGAAATGATAACAGAGCAGTAATTAATGTAGTAATTCAACATTAACTATGAATCTCAGAGCATAAATAAAACTGTGTTAGCTAGCTGGGCTAACCTACCCGCTTCAGCAGCTTCTGAGTGACCATAGACAGAAACACCGTCCACCGCAGAGTCTAATCACCTTTAGATATTATCTAGAACAATGACAAGAACCAGCTTTGGCTCCCTAAAACATTTCAATGAATTGTTCTTTGAAGAACCATATTTGGTTGGTTCCAAAAAGAACCATTTTAGCTCCACGAAGCTCTTAAAACATTAGCTAGCTTAGAAGCTAACAGTCATATTTTACCATTAGCTTGCTAATTAGCTTGGCTTTCGCTAACTTTGCCTTTCCTGCTTCATAGTGTAACAGATATCATGTTGTGTGCGTGAAAACATTAACGATATTTTTATGAAACGTCGCTTAATTACTAAGTTTTTTCCAGCCGAGTTTCCCTCCCAGTCTGTGTAGAAGACCGAGCTGAACTGAGGAGAGCTGCTCTCTCTCTGCTCTCTATGAATTCAGCTCTGTCTCTTTTTGTTCTTGTGCATTTTCCTCACATTAGAAGCCATAAAAAGACCCACAACGTCCTCGTTCCAGTGCTGAACTCACTCTGTCTGTTTCAGCCACAGCGGAAAAAGGTCTTCAGGCAGCAGAACAGTAATCAGTACAGATGCTCTTCCTTTTCTCCTCTCCTCTCAGAGTCGCTCAGAGACACAGGAACACAGGAGGAACCAGGAAAAGCAGGTTAGCTCAGTCTGTCCGAGCCGCTCAAACACACCTGAATTTAAGTCATTGATTGAGTCACTGATGTTTCAGTTGACTCCACTAGAGGGAGCCAGATCTCCATTAATGCTGTAACAGTGCTGTGATCAGTTGAACAGATTTGTGATCCAGTTCTGCGAGTCATAATCAGACATACCATAAGAGGACTGGTCACTTTCACTTTTTTCATGTCACATATGTAAACAGCGTAATATTCTATCTATTTCTTATCCTGTCTTTATTAATATTTTTCTCTTTCTTATATATTTTATTATTTACATGACTAATGACCTCAGTGCTGAGCTGACCTGTTTTTTTCTGGTCCAACACATTTCATAATGCTGTTGACCCTGTGATAACCTACAAACGACTAATACAACTAAACTGAAACTGAAACTAAAGCTTTTTTGTTTGCTCTTATGTTTTTTGGCTTCATGCTGTTGACTGTCAGCCTCAAGCAATATAGACTAATTTTAGATTTTTTGTTTTTATTTTTTCCCAATATATATATTATATATATAAAAAAATCCATTTCAGTTTGTTTTATGTAGAGGATGTGCTAACTTTATTTTTAAATTGCTGCTTTAGGGGTTTGAATCAGATGCAGACATTTATTAGTTAGCTAATCGGGGCTACACATCTAACTAGTTTGTGAGGTATCGTTAATGCAAAAAGTCAGCGAAGGACAGGTAACGTTGATAAAGTGGTTTTTATGTGTGTGATATAATCTGCTACAATATTGTGAAAGCAAATATCACATTGTCAACACTTACCATCCAACTTTAGAGAATACCTATCTAGATGGGACTGGTTTTGGACAGATTTGCACCAGAATCTTCAGTACAGTTCAAACCAAGAACACAGTAAATCAGGGGTTGGTAACCCAAACGTTAAGAAGAGCCATTTTTTCCTTTCAACAAAAGTTAAATCACCCTGGGAGCCACAACATTTTATGTCCATTTTATTGAAGGAATGTTTCACCATCATGGCTGTAAATATGTCTCATTGTGTGTATGTGTAATGTACTAGTATAGTCTAAAAAATATAATATAAACAAAAACGCAGACTTACTCTGCTCTGCTTTAAGCTTTAGCTGCTTTTCTCGCATCTCTGGCAGGAAATGTTTCCAGAAAAGTAGAACAGTTTCTTGTAAAATGTCTCTCAATGCTCAATCTCTTATGAGGCTGAAGTCGCTTCTCATTCACCAGCTTCTTGTTCGAATTTTCCCGTTCCACCTTAAATGGTGCCTGAGGCACTAACTGCTGCACCATTTAAGGTGGAACGGGAAAATTCGAACAAGCTGGACAACGAGAAACTTCAACTTTGTGACTTTTTAGTGTTTGACAGTTGCAGATTAAACATATCAGGAAACCAGCTGGAGTGATTATAAATGCAAATAAGTCCATTTGTCTCCAAATTATCAGTGTCTTAAAATGCTCTCTTTGTCATTTCGTTAGCTACTAGCTAGGCGAGATAGTCATCTGACCAGCAGTCTGCATGCCAACCTTTAGGGTTAAAGGGTGAATTAGCAGTTCTACATTAACTCCAGCGTTTAAGACCCTTTATTGTTAAACTGTGTTGAACGATCAGCAGAGCTTTATTTTACTGTAAAGGAGGATTATTTTATTTTTACCTACAAATCTAATTCTGCTGTGGAGCCACAACAGGGCAGTAAAAGAGCTGCATGCAGCTTTGTTGCCGACCTCTGCACTAAACCTTATAGACAGTTTGCCGGTTGTTTACTGCAGCATCACAGTAAAAATAAAAAGAAAAAAAATCAGAAATTTTGATGAAGTCAGTTTATTTGGGAAAAAATGACTTTTTCAGGGGTTTGAGATGGAAAGCCGGCCTGAATCCCCCTGAAAAGAACCACCTCTTCTATGAAGAAGAACCAGCTTGAGCATTAAAAAAAAAGAAAATGGCATTTTCTTAAACAATGATAGATTAAATAATGTACATATAATGTAGATATACACTTAAAATGTAGGATGGAGAGAGAGAGAGAGAGAGAGAGATTTGAACACAGAAAAAACGTTTACTCTTATTTTTCCTTCCTGGACTCAGGACTTGGATCAGCAGATGTAGGTGACACTTCTATCCTTTCCAACGCAGAAATTTTTAAACTATAAGAGCTATAACACGCTATAAAACTACCAACTACAGTTGTATTAGGGTGAAGTTGCTACTACTACATCTGTCCTGACTGACTAGATGGTCTGGACTAAAATATTACATACATAGATATTATTTTGGAAATAATATTAATTCAGATAACAGGACAGGACACAATCAGAAGCCTCAGAGATTCCAGAAGTTGACTGCAGACCGATATTACTCTAAACTACAGTTTCCCACATTAACCCATATGAATGTAATGCAAAGAATAAAAAAAAAAACACAGCGTTTATTGTTATATATGTTTATTTTTATTTTAATGGTCAATGAATAATGAAATTCACACCCACAATAAAACAGAAGCTCTCTGCTCTTTGCAATTTAGTCAAGTCACTCGTCAGATCTAAAGTGTTTCCCCTCAGCTGAGCAGCGTCTGTGACCCAACACACATGAACAAAATGCTGAGCTAGACATTAATGAATATTTTCAGTCCTAAATCTGACACACCCACAGACCTGTCTCTGACCTTTACCCTGAACATCACCCTGACCATAAGGCTCACCCAACTCTAACCATGACCATAAAAATACATCATAACCAAACATCACCCAGATAAAGAGCCTCAGCTCAACACTACATCTCAATTATAATCCAGCAAGTAGATCACAGAGAAAACACAAACTAGTTTTCACCAAATTTCACCAAAGCACATCCACTCTGTAGCAGGAACGCCTGGTTTGGTCAGAGCTAACAGTGTGAGGAGGACAAAGAGGAAAGCTTAACCTAGTGTGTAAACACTTAAAGTTTTAGAATACAATCCATATATAGAAATTAAGCTACAAAAACAGCCTGTTTTGAAGTCATGTTTTTTGTGATGTCACAGAAACCAACACATTTATGTATTTCCACCTATTGAGCCTACAGCAGTTTAGCCCCGCCCACTCACGCTGAAGCTATAAGGCTGTTTTAGGCTGGACTGCTTTCTGAATGAGGCACATTTCAAGACAGCCAAACAAAACAGAGCTGATTTACATATATCAGTCTTAAAGGCACAGTGACAAACAGCCTGTTGAGCTATAAGGGATAAAGAGAGGTTGGAAAGTGTGCATTTAGTGAATAATGAATCTGAATGTGGGATGTGGCCCCTTTAAAATGTGCTGAAAGGGTCAAAAGCAGGAGAACATTATAAACTCACTGTCTTTTATTGTTTTCTCCTCCTTTACATTCAGGAATGATAAAATGTGCTATGATGCCTTTGTTTACAGTGAACAGGGACAACGTCCTCACAACAATTAGTGTCAAACACCTGATTAGGAAACACACTAGAACATAAAGACTGTGAGAACACATAAGAAAAGACCTCTATAATGAGGCTGCTGTTTGAACATTAAGTGTCATTGAAATCTCCTTGACGTTTGACCAGTTCACTGGAATTTTGGAAATTTCAAATTTCTAATGCAGTTCACTTATTATTACTCATTAACGTAAATACACATTAAATGAAATATTATGCAACTGCTGGACATTTTTGCACTGATTGTTATAGTTCATTATTACGCTTTTAATAATGATTTTTACTATATTGTATTTGTATTTTGTATGTAGTATTTCCTCTCATCAAATTCCTCAAAGCAGTAGTGTCTGAAAGTACCATTTACATTTATAGTATTTGGCAGACGCTCTTATCCAGAGCGACTTACAATTTGATCATTTTACACAGGTCGGTGAAGGCAGTATTGGGAGTCTTGCCCAAGGACTCTTATTGGTATAGTGTAGGGTGTTTACCCAGGTGGGGATTGAACCCCAGCCTGCAGTGTAGAAGGCTGTAAAAATGTAAACCACTTAAGTAGCACTTTATATCCCAGTACACAAATGTAAATGCAGTAAATGTAGTGAAATCAAAAAAGAAATAATACAGCAAAGTAAATCATTTCAAATCCACCACTTACCAGCCATTTCTTGTGGATCACATAACCTCGCTTTTGAAAACAGGTTCACCCAGAATCCAGCATAGAGAGGCTGAGTGAATGTGGTGTGGACTGTGTGTAGGAGGGTCATTGTGTCAGAGACGCTGTAGAAGGACAGAGTTCCTGCACTGTGATCCACATACACTCCTATTCTGGAGGATAATGTGGCTGAGAGCTCAGTCTCAATATTGTTGTGCCAGAAAGAGAGAGAGGAAGAACACCGCAGACTCCAGGACTGACTGTTGTGTCCAAACCAGCTCTCATCACCTCGTCCTTTCCTGCTGATCCCTTTATATGAGACTGAGATGTACAGGCATAATCCTTTACTGCACTCAACCTCCCAGTAACAGCGTCCACTCACACTCTCCTTACTCAGCACCTGCTTCCAGCAGTCAAATCTCTCTGGATGATCAGAGTAACGCTGGAATGTCTTACTGTGCATCACCACTCTGTTCTTCTCAGACAGACTGAGGTAACGCTGCACTGTGTTGGGATCCAGAGTCAGATGACAGAAATCTAAAAAAAGCACAATTATTTATGTAGCTTTTTTTACTGCTCCATAATTAGTGGCACCCTTGGTATAGATTAGCATTAATTAGTATTAATTAACTAAAGGGAAGAGGGTATCTGTGTGTGTGTATTGTGTACATACACTGTAGAAAATATTCTTTATTTGTTGGATCTGAGGGTAAAATCATCTGAACTGCTGCAACTGTGGAGAGACACAAGGCAAATATTTAAAATGACATCATTTGGGCATCTCATACAGTAATTTTTTTCTCTCAATTTTCAATTAATATTGGTTTTCAAATGTGTTACTATTAACCAGGATCAATTTAATTCAATAATGACATGATTTTCTACTTTGTAAGTAGATATGGTTTCTGTAGTCTTTCTGTGATAAAGATGAAGCTAGAAAGATCGAAGCTCCTCTTACCATGTGGAGAGATTTTACTGAATTCCTGCTTGCAGAATTCCTCTAGTCTCTCTTTCAGATCAGAGAGAGATTTCCTCACTCCATCAAATGAGAGATGTTGATGGACCGTGATGCTGGGTGAGTCCTCAGATCCAGAAGAGACACAGAGAGACTGGAAACTCTACAGAGAGAGAAAATATCAAAGTGTACAAGATTGATGAATGATCTTAGAAAGACAAAAGACAAAAACAAAACACTGGTGATTTTAGAAAAGTATATTTATTATTGGCTTGATGGATATTTAAAGGAAGGCATTTCAGAACATTTCTGAGTTTCAAGTCTCTTTGTAGATCAGACAGTGCTGGTTACCTGTAGGAAATGGATGTGATCCTCTGTGTGTGAAAGCTGTTCCAGCTCAGTGTCTCTCATCTTTAGATCAGCAATCTCCTGTTCCAGTTGCTCCAGGAGTTCTTCAGCTCCACTCAGTTCAGCCTCCTCCTGAGCTCTGATCAGCTCTGTTACCTCAGAGCGCTTTTTCTCAATGGAGCGGATCAGCTCAGTAAAGATCCTCTCACTGTCCTCCACTGCTGCCTGTGCAGAGCTCTGTTACAACACACACACAAGATGGAGCTCCATTTACACACCAGCTATCATTCACTCTCTCACTAGGACTCTAGATGACTTACTGTCCACATTGTGGCTGTGTGGGATGTCTAAGTGTCCAACACTGGACTCCTCACTGTCTGACTGGAGGAGAGTCTGACTGAGCTGTGAAACAGCTGCTCCAGCAGATCTCTGCTCACTACTCACCTTAAGAGTCTTCACAGCCTGTTTCACCTCCTGCAGCTTCTTCTCTTTCTCCTGGAGTCTCTGCTGGGACTTTCTTTGCACCCTCTTTAGACGACTCTATGAATGAATACAAAAGTTTGTTATTTATATCCCACAAAGATTTGATACTAAATAGTTAAAGTGCACTGTTATTCCCAAAGGCTCTGTCAACATTGCTTCAAGTTTTTAAAGTATACATTTGTTGCAGAATAAGTGTTTACCAGTGTTTAATTAAAGCAACATTAATAAATTAGTACTATTTCATAGTCAATAAATACTCCAAAATTACATGCCTGCTCAGAACTGTGTGGGTGTATCAGATTACATTATGATTGACAGTGGTGTCACCCTGGCAACGTAAATAAACTGACTCCAGTGTCTGAGGTGTGTCTCTTCTACCACCAACAATGCCAGAGACGGCACACGCAGCAGGCAGGATCAGTGTGGCTCAGTCCTACACGTTTGATTTTAAAGAACAATGGTCAAGACCCCCACAGGACCACCACAGAGCAGGTATTATTTAGGTGGTGGATCATTCTCAGTGCTGCAGTGACACTGACGTGGTGGTGGCATGTTAGTGTGTGTTGTGCTGGTACAAGTGGATCAGACACAGCAGTGCTGCTACTGTCTGTAATCATAAAAGTACAAGGTGCTCCTATACGGTAAGTGGAGCTGATAAAATGAACACTGAGTGCAGAAACAAGGAGGTTGTTTCAATGTTCTGGCTGATCAGTGTACTTTGGCAGACCTGATTTCACCTCTGCCAAATTTAGTTTTGCCCAACTTAAGCTGAACTGAAAACTCAACAGAAAAGACCAACGTCATTCTTTCTCTGCCAGTTCACAGTAAAAACATCACAAAAACTGTAGATAACAGTTCGAAGATGAGTAGATGAGATATGCAGACAGTCTTTAAGAGCTTTGACTGTCGTGTTATCACTAAAAGTATGTAAAAAATGCTGAAAGATAAGTGTTGACTTTTTAAATGTTGACTGACTCGTCTCACTCGTTTATCACTAGTTCTGAGAAAGGTGACCATTGAAATGACAGTAAAAATCTTATAAATGTCAGCCTCGGATTCTCGACCTCAAATACAACTGCATGAATTTCAAGGAATAGAGTTCTCACTTGTTTCTCCCTCCTCTCTGCTGCAGCTGAGACTGTATCGTGGCCTTTGTGTTCCTCCATCGTACATAAATAGCAGATGCAGCTGTGGTCAGTACGACAGTAGATCTTCATCACTTCATCATGTTGAGGGCAGATCTTCTCTTGTAGCTGTTTGGAGGCTTCGACCAGCTTGTGCTTCTTAAAGGCAGGAGACTGATAGTGAGGTTTAAGATGAGTTTCACAATAAGAAGCCAGACACACCAAACAGGACTTGATGGCTTTGCGTTTCCTCCCAGTGCAGTAATCACACTCCACATCTCCAGGTCCAGCGTAACAGTGAGCAGGAGAAGCAGCTTGGAGTTCTGTCTTCTTCAGTTTCTCCACCACTTCAGCCAGCATGTTGTTTCTGCGTAGAACAGGCCTTGGAGTGAAGGTCTCTCTGCTGGGAAACTTTGGGTCCTGCCATCCATGTGGATGTTACTTTGACACGTACCACCTACCTAAGCATTGTTGCAGACCATGTACACCCTTTCATGGAAACAGTATTCGCTGATGGCTGTGGGCTGTGAGCATCTGTGGGATGTGCTGGACAAACAAGTCCGATCCATGGTGGCCCCACCTCGCAACTTACAGGAGTTAAAGGATCTGCTGCTAACATCTTGGTGCCAGATACAACAGCACACCTTCGGGGGTCTAGTGGAGTCCATGCCTCGATGGGTCAGGCTGTTTTGGCAGCAAAAGGGGGACCAACACAATATTAGAAAGGTGGTCATAATGTTATGCCTGATTGGTGTATATATTGGTGTTCCAGTGCTGAACTCACTCTGTCTGTTTCAGCCACAGCGAAAAAGGTCTTCAGGCAGCAGAACAGTAATCAGTACAGATGCTCTTCCTTTTCTCCTCTCCTCTCAGAATCGCTCAGAGACACAGGAACACAGGAGGAACCGGGAAAAGCAGGTGAGCAAGTGTTTTATTTTAATATGTCTTATTTATATTTCATTTTTATTATTGTTTTGGGTTGGGGTTTTTTTGATCCGTTGATCATAGATCAGTACAGATTCACTGTTGTTTCAGTTGAATCCACTAGAGGGAACCAGATCTTCATTAATGTTCCAAAAGCGAGAGTTTGTGATGCAGTTCTGTGAGTTATAATCAGAGACACCATAAACTTACTATTTATTGTATGTTTTATCTTTTTTTGTCTTTATGCTATTGATCATCAAACAATATAGACTAAGATAATATTTTATTTTTTATTGCTTTTTCCAACATTTTAAACTATTTTAAATGTAAGGAAATAAATACAAATTGTGCAGCAGGAAAATTCATAGTAAAGTTTGTTCCATGTAGAGGACTGTATTTTCAAATTGCTGTCTTAAGGGGTTGAATCTGATGCAGCCATTCATTAGTAGTGTAGTCTACACATCTGTCTATCTTGTGAGGTATCATTAATGCAAACTGTTTATTAGCTAAAGTTAGTTTGTGTTATTGAAACACCATTTTTTGTCTATGTTTGATATAATCTGCTGTAACATGTCAGCAAACAGAATGCTAAGTCAACACTTATTCTCCAGCTTTGGAGAATACCTATCTATACCTATATACCTAGATGTTTGCTGGCCAGCTTACTTGTGAGGCATACAACTCACTGCTGCACCTCACCTGTCATTCAGACTGAGCTTTATTAGCAGGTTATGGAAAGATCTGCACCAGAATCTTTAGTACAGTTCAATCCAAGTACACACTAAATGAAAGGGAGTAATGGATGGACAGTTTGCTGGTCATTTACTACAGCTTCACAGTAAAACTAAAAAGAAGCAAATTACAAACTTCAATTTAAAGTCAATTTATTTGAGGAAAGGGGGGCTCAAGCCCCCTGAAAAGGGTATACAACCATGTCTGGTGTGAAGAAGAACCAGCTTGAGCAGATTAAAAGGTAAAAATTTTCTTTATTCATGAAGGGATAAATGTAGATCTACACCTAATATGTAGGATGGAGAGAGACAGAAGCATTTGAACATGAGAAAGACTTCAGCCCTTTTATCTTGACCTGAGATGAGTATCAGCTGATGTAGCTGATGGTTTTGTCCTTTTTAAAGAAGGTGTACCAAAACGAGTCAGCTAATCTGGACTGAGTGTACCAAATTCCTAGAAACCTTAAACCTCTCCAATGAGAAAAAAATAAAATCATTTCAGTTTGACTGTCACAATGCTCTTATTGTCATGATACATCACGGACTCATTATTTTGGGTCACAGAATTTCACAGTTGTTCCCCAACCAACCCAGAATCCAGCATAGAGAGGCTGAGTGAATGTGGTGTGGACTGTGTGTAGGAGGGTCATTGTGTCAGAGACGCTGTAGAAGGACAGAGTTCCTGCACTGTGGTCCACATACACTCCTATTCTGGAGGAGGATGAGATCTCAGTCTTAATGTCATCGTATAGCAAAGAGAGAGAGGGAGAACACTGCAGACTCCAGGACTGACTGTTGTGCCCAAACCCGCACTCTTTACCCCGTCCTTTCCTGCTGATCCCTTTATATGAGACTGATATGTACAGCCCATATTTTCCTCCACTCCACTCAACCTCCCAGTAACAGCGTCGACTCACACTCTCCTTACACAGCACCTGCTGCCAGTGGTCAAATCTCTCTGGATGATCAGAGTAATGCTGGACTGTCCCACTGGATGTCACCACTCTGTTCTCCTCAGACAGACTGAGGTAACAATGCACTGTTTTGGGATCCAGAGTCAGCCGACAGAAATCTAATAAAAAGAAATAAAAATAATGATAATGAAAACTTACATAGAAAGATCAGTGGTTGTTCAATTCTGTTCACATTTCTACAGTCCTTATTTTACCTGCAGTCTAATGAGCATCAAGAGATAACAGTGTGTTCCTGTTTAACCTTCAAATGTCAGTCGTGTCGTCAGTGTTTATTTGTGTGTGTGAATGTGTGTGTGCGTGCATGTGTGTGTGTGCGCGTGTGTGTGTGAGTGTGTGTGCGTTTGTGTGTGCATGCGTGTGAGTGTGAGTAAGTGTATGTGTGTGTGTGTGCGTGCGAGTGTGTGTGTTTGTGTGTATGTGTGTGTGTGTAAGTGTTTGTGTGTGTATGTGTGTGTGTGAGTGCGTGTGAGTGAGTGTGTTTGTGTGTATGTGTGTGTGTGCGTGTTTGTGTGTGTGTGTGTTTGTGCGTGTGTGTGTGCGTGTTTGTGTGTGTGTGTGTTTGTGCGTGTGTGTGTTTGTGCGTGTGTGTGTGCATGCGTGTGTGAGTAATTGTGTGTGTGTGAGTGAGTGTGTGTGTGTGAGTGTGGTGTGTGTGTGAGTGTGTGTGTGTGCGAGTGTGTGTGAGTGTGTGTGTGTGTGTGTGTGTGTATGTGTGTGTGTGTGTGAGTGTGTGTGTGAGTGTGTGTGTGTGTGTGTGTGTGAGTGAGCGTGTGAGCGTGTGTGTGTGTGTGAGTGTGTGAGTGTGTGTGTGTGTGTGTGTGTGTGTGTGTGTGTTGTGTACATACACTGTAGAAAATCTTCTCTGGTTTTTGGCTCTGAGGGTAAAATCATCTGAAGTGCTGCAGCTGTGGAGACAAACAAACCAAATGATCCAATGGAACGAATCAAGAAGACTCAAAATAGCGCCACCTACTGGAGCAAAAAGGTTCATTAAATGTATCTTAACTGGTGTCTTTATAGAACCAACAGAGACTCCAGATAAAAACTGAACCAGGCAGCCGGTCAGACCCTCCATTTTTATGTACATTTAGAAGAAACAAAGAAGCTGACATTGGCTTGTCATCCTGATATACTTTCACAGAAACAGGGAAAAATACGTAAGCTGTGCTCAAAGAACAGCACTGTAGCGATGCTCTGAAGCAGTGGTCACCAAATCAGGTCACAGAGATTTACCTTCCTGTACAGTCTAGTTCCAACCACAGTCTGACACAGTCCTTGGCAAACCACAACACCAAATAGCATGTCAAAACTGTATGTCAGTTTTAATTGTGGCCCTTTGGATGAATCAGAGTAGTGTAGTGTGTAGGTAAAGGAAAATTAGATGCAGGATTGGAACGAGGTTTGGTAACCACTGCTCTATGGACATAATGCCTATACAGAGCCCTGTAAAACTCCCTTAATAGATTAGTCTGAATCACAAATGACCCTTACACAGATTGTTCCAGACAGAATTTTTATTGCAACCAGTTGAATGATAGATTAGAATTGATTAGAATGATTTTAAGTCTTCATTTTAACAGCTTTCCTTCAGTCTGATCAAACTCCACGACTGATGGGGCAGTTGTGGGCTGGAGGTTAGGGAACCAGCCTTGTGACCGGAAGGCCGCCAGCTCGATCCCCTAAGCTGACAGTACATGACTGAAGTGCCCTTGAGCAAGGCACCTAACCCCCAACTGCCCCTGGGTGCTGTGGATAGGGCTGCCCACAAGTGTGCTCACTAGTGTGTATGTGGTGTTTCACTGCATGGATTGGTTAAAAGCGGAAGGTGCAATTTCCCCATTGTGGGACTAATAAGGGTCACTTAACTAAAAGGTACTTGAATTAAGGGGGTCTTTCATCCAGAAATGGTGAACTTCTTTAAATAACCACAGGAAGAGGCCCATTGTAAGCCAACTGTGTCCTCATTAGACCAACATCTTTCATGTGTTTATACTTGGAGCTTCTACAGCAGAGGGGTTGAATACTTCTGCAAACAGCATTTTCAGTTTGCAATGTTTTTGTCACAGTATTTTCTTACATAAATCCAATATCACAAGGTCAGTCTTTTAAAGTACAATATTACAGAACAAAGGTGTGATTTGTAATCCAGGTGAGTCTGTTTAATTTTGAGGAGGTTGAATACTTTTGCAAGGCACTTTAAATGAAGTCTTAGTGTTAATATTTGTGTGTACCTGACGTACCTGATTAGTCTTATAAATGTAAGTGTATTTGTAATTGTTGTGAAAAGAAATAAAAGAAGTTATTATTATGAATTATTATTATGAATTTTGCTATTTAATTATGCTGTTGAGTCCAAACTCAAACTTTTTTTAACATAACTTGTATGGTCTTTATTAGTCTCTGGCTGAGAGAGAAGATGTTCATCATTCTGATTCACAGCAGGAAGCTCCTCTTACCATGTGGAGAGATTTTACTGAATTCCTGCTTGCAGAATTCCTCTAGTCTCTCTTTCAGATCAGAGAGAGATTTCCTCACTCCATCAAATGAGAGATGTTGATGGACAGTGATGCTGGGTGAGTCCTCAGATCCAGAAGAGACACAGAGAGACTGGAAACTCTACAGAGAGAAAACAATGTAATGGAGAAAGTTAAAGATGCATATGAGGAATGATTTGGTCAAAGAAAGATGGGTCATTTCACCCAAAACATTTAAGAAGAGGCTTAGAACCTGTCTGTAGATTAGTGATTCAGAGT